GAATCCTACTCCATCTTGTTTTTTAAAAATTTTTTATGTTCTTTAAAAAATGAATTTTGATCAAAATCAGCTCAAACTTATACATGTACATGTCGTATGAATATGTATTTGTAAACAAAAAATTATAAAAATAAAGAATTCTCTCTAAGTCATTTTCGGTAAAATTTGGTCTTTATTATAGTACAAGGCTTCGGCAAATCTACTTTTGATTGGAATGAGATTGAACATGCAACCATAGGGTGCCTTTTTTGAGGGCTGTAAATTTTGCGGAATTCACAATTTTTTGAAGATTCGCAAAAATTACTTCTGCAAAAATCAAAATTATTACAGTAAAGATGGCAGACAGCATAAATTCGCGAAAATTAAATCCACAAAATTGATTTTTAGGTAAATTTATAAACTTTATAGCTCTCAAAAAAGGCACCCTACAGTATTAAGAAAAATTATAAAATGAAAAATTTTCTCCTAGTCATTTTTGACAAAATTTGACCAAAGACCCTACTGGGACTTTGGCCTAATTTAAAAAAAAATTATAAAACATTCAATTTTGATTTGGAATTAGCTTAAACTTTATACACAACGTAAATATATGTACATGTATTAGGAAAAAATATAAATAATTAAGAATTTTTTTTAATAATTTTTGATAAAATTTGACCTAAGCCCCTGTACTATAGTACAAAAAATTTATAAAAATCTGATTTTAATTAAAATAATTTTTTTTACATAATATAAGTAATATACATCAGAAAAATTATAATGGAGAATTCATCCTAGTCATTTTTTGGCAAAAGACCCAGTACTACAGTACAGGCTTGACTTGATTTTTCAAATTCTTTGTGGTCTTATTCAGCCTGATACAGATTATAAATTAGTTGTAGTTTGAAATATTAAAAATATAGAAGTTCTACCATTATTTGCATATAAAAGTTTAAAACTAAAAACAGCACACAAAAATATTTACTATCTAGCTAAGCTATAGCATAAAATCTACACTTAAAAACTTATAAAGTTATATAGATCTACTTATCCTGAATATTATCAAGCACAAGTTAATTCTCCTTCTCCAGGCCCTTTTCTTTTGACTTCTCTAGCTCCTTCTTCTCCTTCATTCCTCATATGTTTAACAATGGCTAACAAATGATCAACTGAACTGCGTAATTCCTTTACTTCCTAAGACACTGAAGTGCTTAAATCTTTTATTTCCTCTGATAGTGGTTTAATTTGATTTTTTACATCCGCTATAGTTGCCTGCATGTGTTAATCAATAATAATTAAATAAAAAGAAGAGGCTCACTCACTGAAGGTGGTTCAAATTCTTCATTCTTTGATTCAAAAATAGAACCAATCAGCTGCTTTAGAACACTTGACTTAATTGTTTGGGTATATTGTTTGTTCTTGTTCAATCACAATATAATGCAACAGTCTATCCTTCAATGAAAATACATCAATAAAAAATAAAAGCCACACAATATCTTTGAATCCTGGATGCATACTTTCATTATCTACATGTACAATACATGTAGGTCATTTGTAAAAATTGTCACAACATTTCTAAAAAATTCTTCTATTGGTAATATAAATTCAACCTATTGTAAGATCTTTCATCATTACAATACTTGATTTGTTCATACCTTTAAGATTAGCCTGTAAGTGTCAGCTGATTTTTGTATTCCTTGAGTGTCACCAACAGCTAGACTAGTATATTTAAAATGGATTTGATGGTTAGTAGAGTTAATGGAGTGCAAACATACCAATAGGTTTAGAAATAGAATTGGCATTAAAACCACAAACACAATTAGCAATGAAAATGCAATAACCAGATACTTTATAATTATCAATGTGATTGATATCACCTTCATTTAGAAAGGGAAGCAAAATTTTTAAAATTTTGAGAGAACCACTTTTAGCAACAACATGCAGCAGAGTAGAACCAACAAAAAATTTTGAATTAATTCTGTAGCAAATCATTGTTCCGATCAGCACATTTCATAAAATAATGTACATAAACTTAATCTGCATGTAGAATGCTTAGTATTTGCTACATACTTTGATTTCTTTCGTCAGATTTATCATCACATTTAAGTTCAATATCTCCATTTTTATTTGTGAGGCACTGGTAAAGAGGATCCCTTTGATTACAGATAACTGGACTAGCTCCATGCTTCATTAAGATTTTAACGACTTCTGCATGCTCTTGCTCACAAGCAATATGAAGGGGTGTATAGCCATTACAATTAATGGCATTTAACAATTTCCTTTTTTCTTTATCAGAACGTAATGATAAGAATTCGTCAACAACTGTATCATTACCATTTAAGCAATCATTATGAAGTTGTGAGTCCAAATAATTTATTCCTAAAATATAGAATGGTACATTTATGATAATCAGACACTGTGCCTAATTATTCATTAATACAATAATACTCCTGATTAACTTACCATTGCCATTATTGTCTTCAGCAGAAAAATTAGAAACATCATTTGGAGGCTACATGAGAGAGCAAACAAAGAAAAAAGAGAAGAAGAAAATACATAAAACAGAAAACCCAAAAGAGCATAAAACAGAATGGTGTATGAGTATTTTTTGCAAGACTTTAATTGCATATCTGCTCAAAATTGAGAAATGATACAAGAGATATTGTCCTACTGTTGCTACAATGATAACTATTAGCAAAAAAAGGAAGAAAACCAATGGTAAAACTCCCATTTAAAAGCATAACATAACTCAAGAAGCCCAATGTAAGGATCGCCCTATCTATTGTTATCTTGTTACAGATCTTGCCTGTCTTGTGTACTTGTTTACACAAGTACATAATAACTATTATTAGCAGCTGGTTGAATTAGCGTTTTTAAGTACACTTGCTAAAATCACCCACCCTAAGGCCCTGTTCACACCAAAACGTTTTTTTCCCAATCCGTATCGTTTTATAGGCGTTTTGCAGTTCTGTTCACATGAAAACGCTGCAAACGGTAGAGAAAACGAGAACGCCTTCAGAAATGGAGCGTTTTAAAAAAGAATCGTTTCTGTACACGTGTGAACACTGAAAACGTATAGTATCACGTGACAGATACGCCCTAAATTGAAATAAAATGGAGGTCGCTCGAAAGAGACTCTTGGCAGCTGTGTGTCTTTGCAGTTTGTTGACAGCTTTGATTTCCCTGTATCAATGGCAGTTAATATTAATGCATGTAGCATCATCTCACTTCGTCAAGGTGACGCAAAGGCTGTACCATGGAGTTTTGACTAGTAGAAATTCAGGGAAAGTCAGCAAAAGAAGGAAGAGCCATAGGACCTGTTGGATCAGACCTGGAAGGACTGATTTGTGGTGGAACAATTTTTTGACCAATACTGTAGTC